TCACTGTGTTTCTTCTTGCAATGTTTTGTTTTTACTCGCTTGTCCAATCGGACGTTAACGTTGTGATAGTGACTTTACTTTTTTTAACTTCTTTTATTTTTCTGTCTCTTTCTTTCTTTCTCTTTCGATTTTCACGTCTGGTACTCACCACACAGCTCGACCAATAAGGTGTAATATTTGTAATTCGGCCAGAAAAAAAATTGTTCTTTATTATTTTTTCATTTCAAACCAGCAATCGGACAACAGACATATAAGATACCAAGCAATTTTGTTTTTCTCTAGTTTCGACCTTAAACAGATTGAACAATGCCATTTGTGGTAATGTTTAAAGTAAGTAGTATCAATTCTGTCATTATTGTACCTTTTCCAAGAGTCCCTTCATGTGATTATTAACTTTTCATGCAGCGCTTTGACGTAATTAATGATGAATCAACGTTAAGCATATCGAAGTTTGCAAATTGTCTCGGGAGCAAAGTTACAGGCAAATTATATTTGCATTTCTTAGATAATTTACTTGGAAAAGTAGCTCCACTAAATGTATCGATTTTCTATGCTTGAGAAAGGGCCCGCACCCGCCCTACATTGACTCTGGCTAGGTTCGTATAATTAACAAACTTCACTAACGTTGAATTACATTTCTACCGTGGAACTTTAATGACGTCAGGAAAGTTGAACGTTTAAAAGTAAATATTGGCGCACTACCATCGAGATTTGTTCCAAAGGAAAAAAAGAATTGGAACATTCGATCAATTCGATCGAAGCTTGCTATAGTAAAATAACTATACATCACGATTCTATGAACGTATATTTCAATACGATTCGTCAAGAATATCTCCTATAATCTTGAATTTCCAATAAAACATTTCATGACCATTGCATATCAGCGTAGAAACATCAAAAGAAGTTAGTAGAAAGGCACTTTGATAGTTCGGCCCTGTGGGACATCATACAAGTTGAAAATTTTTCGAAATAAACTCGGTCTCGGAATATATGTATGTACAGTGCATAAGTATACATTTTGAGACAGCAATGCCGAGGTGTTGATGGAACGAAACCTAGTGAGCTCGAGTCAGCTCGATATGCAAAAGGAAGTAGCTCTTGCGGATCAGTTCAAAAGTGTATTCACGTCCAGCAGCTCCTCGGAGGGAACAAAAAGTCTTTACGCTCTTTGCAAACTTTTTCTCTGACATGACACCACGAGAAAAGGAGTTTTTTAAAAGAATTTATAAGTTATATGTATAATGTTATACTTATAACACTCGTCGCAGCTGAGAATATGATAAATTGAAGTACCCACGTTACGCTTTTATTACACTTATCTTCACACGAATGTACACGAAAGTTATATGATGAATAGTTAATGTAAACCATGTATGATTTTTGCTTCTACTTTTATTATTGTAGTGGAATTTATATTTAACTTGATATTTGTTTGAAATTCATGACAATGATTAATGGCCATTTTATTACTTTATTAGCTTAAAACAAAAAAGTCTCAAAGTATTATATTAATCTACAGAAATATTTACTTCATAATTTTTCTAAACATGTATTATACCAAGCAAAAAGTAGGAAATTCAAAATGGATTCGATTGAATGTTAATTATTGCACTTTCTTAAATATGTTTTTGAAGAATCCCTCAACTTTTTATGGTACGATTAAGTTTTTTTTGAGAACTTATTTCTTTTTGTTAAAATATTTTAATTGAAAAACGAATTAAAAATGCCACCAATTTGGACGGGGGATATATAGTTTTCAATTTGAAATTTGGGATTTTCTACTTACAAGGAGACCACCCCAGCTCCGGGTCATGGATTTACTCCAAAAATTTTTTGGGGTCTCCTGGTACCCAATACTGAAGCACCCTGTGCTTCGTTTGATCTCTATCACTCTCTTTAAGAAGTCCTAAAATCTATAAAAAAGCGTCAAATCTGGGCCTCTTAAATTAAGTGATAGACGGTCTCAAAAATTCTGGAAAAATTCAAGCAGATTCTTTGAAAAATTAAAAAACTTTTGATCTTTGCATTTTTTCGTTCAAGTACTTTTATATCGATATAGAAATCGATCAAAGATTTTTTTATAATCTGGAAAATCCTCTAAAAATGGGCCCTAATGCCCATGAGATCAAACTAAGCACAGGGAGCTTCAGTATTGGGTGCCTGAAGACTCCAAAAAAATGTTGTAGCAAATTCATGACCCGGAGCTGGGGTGGTCTGTTTGTTAGTTTCGATATCTAGCTTTCTACCTTATTTTCCGTAAATTTGTTATATACAGAAAAATTGGTGAAAAATCGATATTAGAGCAAGTTCATGAAATTAAAAAAGAAATGAGCAAAATTTCAAAAGTCTCGATACAACACTTTTTGAGTTACGCTTTTCACCAATTCTAACAATTTCATTTCGAAAAATGAAAATTGTGAGTCTTTGAACATAGATTTTTCGAAATGAATTTTTCCAATTGTGAGAAACATAACTCAAAAGTATTGAACTGATCCTTTTGAAATTTTGCATACTTCTTTATTAATTTTTTGAGCATGTACTGATGTGAAGATATTTAGATTTTTTCAACAATTTTTTTATTTGTAACAAATATCCCAAGAAAAAAAGTTAAAGACAAATTTTTTGTGTCCGGGCTCAATTTTTGGCAATTTTTTTAACTTATACATGATCCTGTAATAAGGTACGAGTCTCACCAGAATTTTCATGACTTTTCCTTAGATTACCTCTCAAAGGTTTAAATATCAAATAGGCTCTTGAGATCATGCTTTTTCCCATGCATTTTCAAAAACAAGGCTTTTATGCTAGTAAAATACTGATTATCAGCCGAGGTGAAGCCGAGGCTGATGAATTCCACGTGCTCTGAGACTTTTCAGTATTTCACCCCCTGGGGGCAAAATATACTATTCTTTGATAGTATTACGAATCTAGAATGAAAAGTAAAAAAAAAATTGTTTATTAGTATTATTCAAAAAGGTTGCATGCAAAGATGATACAAAACACAGTTTGAAAGGCTATTTGTAGATTTCAAAATGAAATAACTGTATACCTTAAAAAAATTTAAAAACCCGATTTTTGCTTTTTCAATTATAAAAATTTTTAATAAGACATAATTTGATCTTTTCAAAATTGTCTGTTTTATATTTTATGTGTATAGATATTTCAAAATCGCTGTATAACCCTGTGAAAATGCATCTGATCGATGATGTTTATAATGTTATCGTCTGCAAAATATGGATTATGTGAAATTCGCACTTCACAACATTACGGTAGTCCTCCATAAGATTACTCAGAGTTTAATCTGTAGTGTTAAAGCTACATCATCTTTCTTGCTGCTTTTATTTATGGTTCGATAAAAAGAAAAATTCAATACCAAGACGGCAGGTTTGAGTAAGTGTATGTATTTGATGAAATATGTCACGCACACAGATGCAGCATATAATGCAGAAAAAGAGCTCAGGCAGACGGTTCAGTTGACAATGACGGATTGCGAGTGAGTATGTATAGATATGAAAGAGATTAAGAAGCGATTTCGCATAATTGCGCTTTATAAGAAATAAAAAAAAAAAAGAAATATTTCAATCTGATGGTTTGTAGAGGTAATTTTTATAAATAAACTTGTCATGCATGCTACTTTTAAAAATCTTTTCAAGATCATAAAGTTGATTAAACAACATAAACATACGTAAAACATCGTAAGTTTGCCTTTGCAAACTGTGTATACAGTGCGTTCGTGTAAATTTCCTATACTCTCTTGACGCACAATTAGCTAGAGGCATTCGCTAATTAGAAAACTTGCAAACGTGTATTGCCGAGCACTTTCCAACCACTATCATTCCTGTATGACCAAAGATTGGGCAAACGTTTGCTTAGAGCGCGCTGAAGCCTACAACCGAAAAGGCATCGCGCGCGAATCGGTATATATGACTAAAGAGGGCAAGAGAAAGAGGGGACAGGGGTCAGAAAGCGAGCAATATTAATTGCGATTACCTCAACATGTGTAACTACTCCAAAGCCAACTTTTCACTTTTTTTTCTCCTGTAAAGTAGGAATTATAAAGTAATGGTGTTTTCGGTGTAGTTTGGGATGGCGCCAGACATGATTAAAAATGCAATTTCGTAACATTCAAATTATTCAAATTCAAATATACTTTATCTTCCTGATTCGTGGCCAAGAGATATTTAAAATTATACGGTTTGCTTACGCCGAAATTAAAGTGGCAACTTTAGGCGTTGAGCGAAAAAGCCTTCGATGCAATATTGCTGCCTATGAAAACGTGTGATTTTCTTGGAAGTAGATCAGAATAAAGCCCACGCACAACTGTAATCCAGCGAGAGTTTTTCCAGCGCCGTCTTTTAGTAATACCAGCGCTCGTACGCGCGCGTGCCATACTATATAAAATTGACAGCTTGATGTGCGCGCCTACACATACCCGCTGTTGCTGCTGCTACTGTTGCTTCGCGTAGTACTGCAAGCCACACATGCACACACTCAATATTTAAAAATGAGATTTTGCCACGGCAAATTCGATTCACTGCATCACGAGCTGTGTATAAATAAATGTGCGTCAGTGAGCAAAGTTAAGGTAAAAAAGTTATTGGAAAACTTCTTGTTGAATTTGTGTTATGTACCCGGCAACCGTTTGTACGGAGAATTTATTTACTCGTGTGCGTTGACGAGTTTTACGAGTTGCTAAATATTCTTCATAACTCTAAGGCTAATTCGATGCACGTTAGCATGCCATGCATTGGCAGAATTTAGGATCAGCAAAATTAAACATTGCCAAATGGTTTCAATTTCCTATATCTATAAGCATGTGGCCTTTTGGTGCTGAAACAATTTTAACCGATATTTCAAAAGTCAATGATAAACATTGCGCTATGAATATTTAAAAAAGTGGGTTTCAAGTAAAACTTACAAAGTCGTGATATACGTCATCAAAATATAATAAATGCTCCTATTATCCATTTAAATTTCAATACGTACGCTATACAACATGAAAAGTACTTCATTTTAAAGTCGAAATTGCACAATGAAACAACTGTTGATTTTAGCCTTCAGCTTTGTTTTATTTACAGGTGAGCAATCCTTTTACGAATAATATATTTATAAATACAAACAATTGAAATCAAATGGCTTGCAGGATTGGCGTTTTGCAAAAGGGGTAGAATCGTCGGTGGATCAGTCGTGCCGGTAATCGAATTGCATCCATATCAAGTGTCTTTGAGTAATCCTTTGGATGGACATTACTGCGGTGGGGCTATTATAAGCCCTTTCCATATACTCACGGCAGCTCATTGTGTAGTGCCTTACCGTAAAAATAGTGTAATTTATACGGGATCGGCTCATGCCAATGCCGGAGATGTTCATCATATTGTTGAAATTTCTACTCACAGCAACTACGTGGGGGCTGAGACTTTTTGGGCCTATGATATCGCCATAATCAAAGTATATATTTTTTGTTACCCTAATAAGATAGAAAAATTAAATGCTGACTGTCTTAACTTTCATCCGTATAGCTACAAAATCCGATTATATATAATGCAAGACAGTTACCGGTCAAATTGCCATTAAGACCTGTACAAAGTAACGATCTAGCAACAATTGCCGGCTGGGGTTACTTGAAACAAAACGAAACTTCAACATCATCCGTATTGAGAGTAGCCCGAATGCGAATGCATTCGGGTGAAGAATGTAAAACGAAACATGATAGTGATATCAATCCCGAAGTTCAAATTTGCGCTTTCAATAGTTTTGGAGTTGGAGCATGTCAAGTAAGTTTGAAAATTACATGATCATTTTGAGAGCCTAAGTTTATACTTTCCTTTACAACAGGGTGACAGTGGAGGTCCTTTAGTTGGTCAGGATGGCAGAGTTTATGGTATAACATCATGGGTGCGTGGCTGTGGCAAAGGGCACCGTGACGTTTACACGAATGTTTTCAGATTCCGAAATTGGATCGAACGTATCTTATATCACTCTTAAACCAATTTCTCAAATCTGAAGTATAATTATAAAAATTTAACGACGCACGTTGAAAAAAAAATGAATTATATAAATGATGTATTATAATTTATAATAATTATATAAAAGTATAAATATGATGAAAGTATAAATACATATAACGTGAGAGCACGAAGCTCATCTTTTCCCAAAACCATTCATACTTACAACTCTTGACGTACTGTCACTGCTTACATACAAATTGCTACTCGATATTTATATAATTATATTCTTCTTCATATTCAATTATCACAATTTACAAGTGTTTTTAAAATTTACATATATTCTCTATTTTTATGTTAAGCTACCCGAATATTAGTAACCAAATTGTTAGCGAGAAAACATTTGAGAATTAGCAAAGATTACGATCAAAACTCTTACTCGCCGATGCAGGAATACGAAGTGAGCAATTGCACGAGTTGTGGGGCCCTAATGACTAAAGTTTCAAAGTCGTCGGCTTGCGCATTCATCCTCTCTCGCAGTTGAATAGTTACAGCTCCATACTCATACATCCAAAAGGATATCTCGCTTACACCCTGTAAATATCTATCTCTAATTGTATAAATGCGTGCCATGCTGTGTGGTCATTAAAATTACATACCCTTGCGCGACGGCTTCCTCTTAGCCACAATTGCTTCAAATTCAGCGAATTTTACTTGACTTTAGTGCACACGTACGAAATTAAAAGTAATTTTCTGAATTTTCACTCCAGAATGACATTACCGATTCGAACTTTTCTCTTTTGACAGCTGCAGAACTTTTACCGAGCCATATACCGAAATATCAGAAGCATATAAAAAAACTATATTAGAAAAGTACAGACGCTGCGCATGGCGCTTTACGCTGCTAACCGACAGCCGCGAGAAAAGTTTAAAAACGCGTGTATCGTGAAAAACAAACCCTACGGAAGAAAGCGGCAGGTCTCCGCAAGCACGCGAAACTACGGAAATTCGTGCTTCAGCGTAAACAAAAAACTTGCACGTTGTCGCGGCGGTGGCGTGCATATAAGAGTTTTTCATACACCCGCCTTGTGCTTTCTTTCTTTCTTAATTTTTTTCTTTCCTTTTTTTTTCAAAAAGTGTACGTGTGCTGAAGCTGAACTGTCACATTTTTTCTAGAAGAGAATGTATAAGTAAAGTAATATAGAAGCTTTGCAGGACTAAGTTAGATAGAAAGAAATCTATTGAAAGTTGACAAGTAAACACATGAAGTGAATCGCATACGTAAAAAGGAATGGAGCACGTACATAATGGAGATGCTCTGCATTGAATCTAACTTTTTACGCTTTGCCAGGAAACAAAATTCTACTGAAAAACATATTACTTGAAGTACCGAAGAAACAAAATTATGTAATTTTATTACATGAATTTTGAATAAATTATCGAACTAGCTTAATCGATATATAAGTTAATCAAGCCGATGTGAATTATCGGGACAGCAGTTCAGTCAGACCCTGGCGTTTGAGCAGCTCTGTTGAGTAGTAATTTCAATGCAGTTTGTGCTAAGTTACATATTCTAAAGCCATGACCCATATGGCTAAACAGAATAATGAGACAAAAATTCATTAAAAATTGTCATACTCACCTCGTGCGATGATTCTTGGTCTGTATAAAATGTTATGAACGATTTCAAGGAATTTCGTGATTTTTTTAATGTTTTCAACACATGGTACTTTAATTCAATAGACTACAATGATAAGTTTTAAAACTTCACGCAGAAGTTAAAAATTATGGAAATCTCTCTGATTGTTTCATTATCAAATTGAATAAAGTCTGCAAAAAGTAAGATTCAAGTGTTACTTTCTTCCATGAAATATAATTATCGCTTGTAAAATATCATTGTATCTGCTACTACGACTCCATTTTCTTGTAAGAGAACAAAAATTGGAAAGACTGAGAATTTGGTCTATCATTTAAAGTTGTTACATTCTTTTCAGTCAAAAGTTTTTTAAAATTTTCGAGAAAAATAATTTCAATTATTATAATGCATAAAATTAAATTAGTTAATAGTATTGGCTCTTATTTTCATTTAATCATTCTCAAAAAATTTCAAACAGTTGTCCGAAAAAATTGTACAATTACGAGACTAGGATGATTGTCAAATCTCATTAGTATAATGTATGATTCACTCTCCTAAAAATGTGTTATCACGTGTGTTGGCATCATGAATCATGCTGATGAAAAATGCATAAAAAATTATGAAAATAAGACTAGTTCTTTTCATTAGACGGAATTGTACTTTATATCAATCTGGAATTTCCATGAATTACTGTTTGTTTTATTTTCCAATGAGATAAACAGAAAATACCCCTCTTATAATTTAAATGAATTTTTTGAGTGAAGCAGTTTTTCGCCTGAGCTCTGCAGGGTTGAAAAGTTCCAAGAGTTAAACATCTTCCACTTTTTCCAATGTTTTGTGAAAACATTTTTTTGAAAACATATCTGAAATGATCCTGTACAGGTCATAATCATGAATTAAAATGTTGCCTTTAAGTTAAATCAAAAAGTAGCAAATAAAAGTATATTGCATTGCTATTTTTGAAGATTTGTGAATTGATAAATAACTGTATATGGCAGTAAATTATTACGTTTGCTGTCAAAGGTTAGTGAGTAAATACGCGATGAGAAGTTGAAGCGAGTGAATTCTCACGAGTCTGAGAAAAAAATGAGTGAATAAAATTTCGAGTTCAGAGCTTCTCGGGACTTCGACTCGAGAACATGGAAAATTAGCCCGTCTCTCTATTTCTTTCCGAGACCTGCCCGTTTTCCTCTCAAGGTGACATCATCGCCGAAGGTCGAAGCAATCCAAGGAAGTTGAAGGAATCACTCTCAAGCTAGCTCTCAACAATATATTACAAGTGTATTTAACGATACGGTCCATTTATACGTAGGTAAGGCTCGCAAATACAGAATCATCTTTGCAGCAGGCTGCCATATTCATATACGCGGATGCACGTCCGAAGCTGTGCACTCACTAAATATTCAACGTATACGGGATTAATTTAATGAAGCACGATGAGCGTGTAGCTAAGTGCGTACGGCCGTGTGCGTCCAAAGCTGCGTGCGCGTGTAACGAAAGCTCGAATGCGCTGGTATGTACGGCGTTAATTACGTTTAGAGCCGCGGCACAGCGCACATGGCTGTGTATTTAAGCCACGATGATTTTGATTTGTAACGTTATGCGCGAGCTGCTAGCTGACACGGAAAATAAAGCTGCACGATGTAGGCGCGCGTCCGTGCGTGTGTGTGTATGTGTACGTACGCGCATAGCAACGGCCAATCTCATAATATTGACGGGGCGCGATCTAATAACAACGAGGCAGTCGTCACGGCGAGCGCAGCTATTTTCCAGGCCGCTTTATTGCCCGGCCTCAACCGCCGTGTCGAGGATCGTGTTTACAAATTACGTAGTTACGCAAGCTCGCAATTATTACAGCATCATTTCCAAAGGCTCGCATTCGAACCAACGATTTTATGTTATACTATGACGATATGCGCTTATATTTTCAGCGAGTTAATTAAAACTTTGTTATTAATTAAAAACATTGAATAAAAAAGTCGGCCTTATCCTTCGATGATCCGCATGATAGTGTAGAGCATAGCGAGCTGCTATCCTCATTATACGCGTTGCTCGTCCGGTCGGATCCTTTTTTTCTTCTCCTTTAAAGGGTAACGCTGTTCCACACCTCGAGCTACTAACGAAGCTCCAATGGCTAATTGAGCAGCTGTAGAGATGAAGCGTAAGCTACAGTAGCGAGAAAGATGAAAAAAAAGGAGCAGAATGTCGGACACGAGTTTGCAAGCACAAGATCCGGCAAGAATACTGCTCTCCGACAAAAAGCATATAATGTATGGGCTGTCGGGGAAAAAAATAGCGGAGCCTCCGAAATCGCAACGGACGCTCGATGGATTTCCAGGCTTGTGGCTTGGCTATCAGCCAAACTTGGAGTAGCCAAACCTCGCGCAACAAATCCACGGAAAAGTATCGCGTGTGCATTTGCCGACAACTTCTCGTTCCATAACGTAGATTTTTCTGTTCGTCGCAATTTATAAGCGTTCAAAGGAACTCATCGTTGATTCGATGTAAAGAATGCTAAGGCCTATTTACGACTCAGTAATAGTACTTTCGAGTTTGGCTTAATTTTCAACTTGTCGGAAAGTTACGAATTAAATCGTCCTTTGCAAGTAGAAAAGGTGAGCGGTAAAAGAGCGAAATTGAATGTATATGTCACAGCTTTTAGGTGTATAAGTAGAGTTTGAACAGAGCGTTGGCAACAGCAGCAGCAGCAGCAATAACAACAACAACGACGACAACAGCAACAACAACAACAGTAACAACAGCGCTCGCAACAGCAGTAGCAGCAACAATATCCCATTAGAGAATGGCGTTGCATGAATATACAACGTGGCAGGCCTTGGCATCCAATTATGCAGGAAATACACATAGGCGAAGAAGTCAAATGAAGGTGCGGAACAATCCTGTTAGCCGAGCAGTAGATACTTTGTTTCAACGAGGGCTGCAGAGTAGCAGCAGCAGCAGCAGCAGCTTCCCTCTTTCGCCTCGCTCACGCCAAGGATGTGTGAGAAATGTATACAGCAGAATAGAGCGAGAGAGGGAAGCTGTTAGTTCCAAGTTTGAATGGCTCACACCAGCCAAAGTGCTAACTGAAGATTGAGACTTTCCGACGAGTGAAAAATGAATCGCTACCCAGCGCCTATTGCTTTCACGACAATCAGCTCGCATTTGCACTCGAAAAGAGGCTGCGATTCTTTTTCTTTTTTTTTTTTTGTGTTATCGCTGCTGCAGCTCTATTGAATTACAATTGCCAGCCGAACTGGTATTGATTGCGCACCTCATAGCATGCACGCTGAAGCTAAATTGAATCGAACGATGGCGAATAAAAAAGGAGCAATTTCATGGCGAAAGTACTCGGCTAAGCGGCCGACTATTTGGGCAGGTCGAGGCTCGTGCCCGAGAACATGGCATTTTGCATAACGACCAAGAATTCCTCCCTTGCTCGCGATGAAATTGCTGCGAGTCACAATTA